TCCCTGTCCCCCTGCAGGCCGGGGAGAGGGGGAGCAGCTTTTCTCGCCCCGGGGGACAGGGGCGGCGGACCGCGGTGCATCTGGGCGTCCCGCCGCTCCCATCCTCCGGTGCGAGAAAAGCCCCGTTCGTAACTGCGGATCCGACATAAGTCGGATCCGCGTAACTCGGGGACTGCCTGTAGTTGTTCACATCCCTATCCAGGAGTTAACACTTGTTACTAGGTCAGTGAAATACAAGTATAGAACATAAGTTTGCACCATCTACCATGAGTCTCCTGGTTCATGAACCTTTCCAGGCAATGACAAAGTGGACCGGGAGAGGAAAACAAAGTCAGGAACTGTAGCTAAATAAGAAGCATCTTAGATTCAAAGGTGTTATAGTATTACCCCTGTTCTGCTGTTTAAACGTTAGAAAGTTAGGGTTGTGTGTCCAGTGACTTGGGCCTACTTTTGTGATTCCTTTAAAACAGCTAAGAATAAACTCTGCAGTAGTTTAATGTCATGGTGACAGAGGCATGCATTAAAGTGGAAAGGTCTACATAAGAAATGTCAATTTGAACAAAAATGTATCATGAAACAATAGGTTGGGCCCAACATTTCACCTAGTCTGTAAACTCAAGTAATAAATGACTGACATTCTAAAGTAGCAAATTTAATTCAGTTTTTCCTATTAAACTGCATTTCTTTCATTTTGCCCAGACTAAACTACCAACAGCTAGCACTTATGCATGCCCCAAATCAAAGAAACAATAGGTAAAGCATTCAACAGAACTGCCTAGATCAAAATGATAAAACTGCATGTCAGCTGTTCTGGGACCAGTCCTGTTCAATATCTTCCATCAATTATTTAGATATTGGCATAGAGAGTATGGTCATTAAGTTGGCAGATGATATCAAGCTGGGAGGGGTTGCAAATGCTTTGGAGGATAGGGTCATAATTCAAAATGGTTTGGACAAACAAGAGAAATGGTCTGAGGAAAATAGGATGAAGTTTAATAAGTATGAAGTACTCCACTTAGGAAGGAACCATCAGTTTCACACAAAGAATGGGAAGCAACTGTCCAGGAAGGAGTACCGCAGACGGGGATCTAGGGGTCATAGTGGACCACAAGCTAAATATGAGCCAACAGTGTGACACTGTTACAAAAAAGCAAACATGATTCTGGGATGAACTAACAGAAGTGTTGTGAGCAAGACAAAATTAGTCATTTTTCTGCTCTATTCTGCGCTGATTAGGCCTCAACTGGAATTGTGTGTCCAGTTCTGGGCACCACATTTCAAGCAAGATGTGGAGAAATTGGAGAAGGTCCAGAGAAGAGCAATAAGAATGGTTAAAGGGCTAGAGAACATGACCTATCAAGGAAGACTGAAAAGTGAAAAAACCGACTGAAAAAACCACCCTGACTATTAGGAAGTTAACCAGGAGTTAGCTACCTAGGGAGGTTGTGAAATCTCCATCTCTAGAGATATTTAAGAGCAGGTTGGATAGACATCTACGAGGGATGGTTTATACAATATGGGGACTGGACTCTGACATCTCAAGGTCACTTCCAGTTCTAGTGTTCTATGATTCTATCAACATACTGAAAACATAGACCATATCCCTAACCACATCTTTTATAGCACACCTTTAATATAAGGAAACAACACAGATGCTTAAGAAAGCACAGAAAAGCAATTGCCCAGAATTACATTTCTGTCTCTCTGGTCCCAGAAAGAAGCTATTGAAACCACTCCTGCTAGAATTTGCAGGCAAATCAACAGTTGTTCCTAATCAGTAGTATAAGTATGAACATTTGGTGAAAACTAATTATAGAAATTATCCACAACCAAAAACAGATCTGCAAAAGCAGGCAGCATTATCTCTATACTACGTAGACCTACTGCTCTATCATTTTCATGGCTGCAAAAAAATGCACCACAGACCATGAAATTTAGTCTCCCCTGTTGAAATATGTCTATTTTAGGGGGGTTGCAGTATTGCTAGACTTACTTCTCCACAGCTGGTAGCAGTAGCACAGCCTTCAGAGTGGGAAAGCTGAAAAACAGCAGCTGGGCCAGGCACTCAGCTGTAGAGGCAGCACTGCCACCAGAAGCAAAGCAGAAGCAAGCATGGCATAGAGACACAGTTGTCATAGCCCAGAACCTTTTCAAAGGGTGACCCAGCAAAGGAAAGTTTGAGAAGGCTTGACAGCAGATTCCATTACTCAAGGCAACTTACATATGTAACGGTAGTACAGTACAATACTTATCTTAATCCTAATAAAAAATGGAATATCAATTGTTGATCGTCAGCATCAAGTACCCAAATGGCTCATCAATATAATGTATGTGTAATGAGAATGTCTAGTCACATTCAAGGATATAATTTTTGAAATTAGGAATATGAACCCCTATGTTTCAAACTACAAATCAACCACTGACAGAAATTGGAATAACAATTTCCCTTTTCAGAAAAAAAATCCACAATTGTCAATGTAAATGCTTTCTTCTGAACAAAGTAGAATAAATTATTTTGCGAAATTGGGACTATCGACCATTACATACATTAAAAAATAACAACCTGCTTTTGGCGCAACCTATTTTTTGTAACATTAGTAAGAAGTTCTATTTTATTGTCAAATATAAGTATGAAGAGTGCAATGAACACACAAAACCAGCTTGAGAGAGACTCCTTTTATAAACATTGCCATAACTAAAGAGTCAACTATGAATTCTAATATAGCCAGAATTAAAAAGTTCTGTACAATTGTTTAATGCAGAGTTTACAGTGTTCATCATTATGAACAACTCATGACAATGAAATAACTTCCATCTCATGACAAATGTATAACATTGATTAAACATATACAAACATAAATGAATAACACAGTCATTAACAAACCATATTGTGGTAACAGTAAATATGAAGTATGTTAAAGTGGTAATATCAACTTAAAATCTAGTCGTCAATTTAAAAAGTTAAAAATAGTTTCCAGGTATTACAGCTGCCCTTGCTCCCCTGTGCCAATTTTTGAAGTTGACCACAATTTCCTATTTAAGTATTAATTGTCCTATCTGTTCTGTGAAAGTTGCAAAAAAAATTAAAAAATTAAAAATTCAGCTGATGTCAATTAGTGTTGACAAACATCGAAAGAGCTGAAGAGATTTTTTTTCTCTTTGCTTTCTAAAAGGAGTCAATGTTTTTCTTAGCTTTTGCACAGCAAAATGTTTTTAGGTACATAAAAACCACTGTTTTACATGTTTATATACAATTCTCTGCATAAGTTCTACATAAGGTGATCTTCAACAAATAAAGTATACTTCCTTGCACCAATAAAGGCTAATATTAAAGATAAAAATACGGAGACTTAACATTTAAGATCAGATATGGTGAACAGAGTAGGATTTTCAGAAGTGTGGTATGTCTGCTCTGTTTCAATGAAAGCAGTTAGGTTGCCACTGAGTGCTTTAAAAAAATCTTACCTGTATTTGTTTTCTGTTCATTTTGTAAGAAGAATGCAAAAAAAAAAAAAAAAAAAAAAAGTACTGCTTATTACGTATCAGTACTAGACACCTGACAATTTATGTTTTGTTTTTAATAACGAATAAAAACTGAAAAGAACAAATGCTCAATACAGATATGTAAAGTTTTTGTGTTAAGAAACAAAACAGAATTTTGATAAATATTTTTAATAATTACAAAAAAAATTAAAAATAAGGTCAAACAGAAATTAAACAATTCTAAAGTGTATCCATGACTTGAGAGTTTGAAATAAAGCTTTCAAATAGGTGCACTGTAAACATTCTTAATTTTTACAACTCATTTAAAAAAAAAATGCTAGATCACCTGAGTTTTAGTCCCAATTCAATCTTTATACAGGACCAAAAAAGAATGTGGTTTTCAATGGTAACGAGAGACTAGACAGTTGTGGAGCAGTAACAAATGTCAAAAGCAGTCTGCAAGTTTCTTTCTTTCTTCAAATTGTTTGTCTACTACAAGCGAAAGAGCCTGAAGAAACACTGCCATCGTAACATTAGGACCCTGGAAGTAAAAAAACCAAATAAACAAAAAACGACCCAACAACTTTTTTTTGAGACATCTGACAAAGAACATTAGGTGGCAAATGCTTTACAGACAAAATCACCTGCAGAGAAAGAGAATTAGCTCAATATTTGTTAAAATTTTCCAAGTGCTGTACAACAGCTATGGGATTTGGCATCAGTTAGCACAGGGCAGGGATTCTCAAGTGTCATTGCACTATGACTGCTGTCTGACAACAAAGTACAGTGAACCCTCGTTTATTGCGGTAGATAGGTTCCAAACCCGACCGCGATAGCTGAAAATCCGCGAAGTAGGCTTTGAAAGCCGCGGAGGGGCTCCGGCGGGAGAGCAGCCCAGGCGCGCCTGGGCTGCTCTCCCGCCGGAGCCCCTCCGCGGCTTTCAAAGCCTCGGGGGAAGCCGGCGGGGGAGCAGCCCAGGCGCGCCTGGGCTGCTCTCCCGCCGGAGCCCCTCCGCGGCTTTCAAAGCCTCGGGGGAAGCCGGCGGGGGAGCAGCCCAGGCGCGCCTGGGCTGCTCTCCCGCCGGAGCCCCTCCGCGGCTTTCAAAGCCTCGGGGGAAGCCGGCGGGGGAGCAGCCCAGGCGCGCCTGGGCTGCTCCCCCGCCGGCTTCCCCCGAGGCTTTGAAAAAAGTCCGCGAAGTCGTGAATCCGCGATGGTCGAACCGCGAAGTAGCGAGGGCTCACTGTACTATCTGATACTGGGAGCGGGGTGGAGCCTCAGCCTGCCACCAGGGGGTGCAAGGAGGGATCACAGCCTGCATCCCTGTGTGGGGTAGAGAGAGGGCCCCAGCCTGCGCCTGCCGCCCCCGGTGGGGCTGAAGCAAGAGATCCAGCTTTGACCCTGGGTTCCAGCAACTCTAATGCTGGCCCTGAGGACCCCATTAAAATCACTTTGGGGTCCCAACCCACAGTTTGAGAACTAGTGGCATAAGGAATCTAGGCCAAACTGAGCAAATTCTTGAGGGTTATTCAATATTACTATAGATTCGCTTTACCAAAATCCAACAAATAGTTCCATTGAATGAAAATGTAAACAAACCACACCAAAACTTACAGAACAACTAAGGAAATGAAGTTACAAAGAAGCAATATTGATGCTTTGTCATGATGCAGGCATTATTGCTGCTTTCATAATTGCATAGTATGCAAATATATAGTTTCTTAAATGAGGATGAACCACAAAATGTCCATTCAGGAGCAGCTCCAATGTAATTTAAAGTAAGACTTTTATATAGGCCCACTCTGGAGCTTCCACCCAAGTAGATTGCCAACACAGCCAGATAAAATAAACTTACTTGAATATAAAGTGCATGTGCTAGAAAAGGAAGTTTCCTCAGAACACGACCACTAAGTCCTTCACTTTTCCTACAATAAAGTAGATTTGCATATTATTATTTTGCTAGCTTTCCCTTCCAGAAATTAAGAGGTTTGCTTTCTGTGATTCTGCCAAAAATCTCAAATTATTGCCAGTTAGCATTATGTAGCACTGAAAGGGAAAATACAAATCTTGTATTCATTCTTCACTTGGTAAATCTGTAACAATCCTACAAAATATTTTACTTTCCTAGGTATTAAACTCACTTTTACATATATACATATACATATATAGGGAGCCATTCAAAAATGGTGTATTGCAACTGAGGAAGCGCCTGTCATTTGTTAAACAGTAATTTCCATTACTGAGTCTATGATTTTATGGGAGAAAAGCGTAAATAATCCAGACAAGTCTACCATACTGCAATTACCATAGTTCACTATTTGAGAGGACACTATATTCATTATACACTGTATATTCTGTTGTTTAAGAAAGACTTTTCTAACCCTTCTG